TTGTTGCCTATGTTGTGCAGGCAGAGTGCCTGCTGGTAGGACGCTTGTGAGCAGAGGACTCGACTAGAGAGAACAGAGGCAACGACATAGCGTTGGGGGCAGAGGGTTGGGGAGACGGTGAAGGTAGGAGGTAAAGGAGTGACGAAGAGAAATGCATCATTATATGCTCCCGATCTTCAGCAGTTGATTACATAAGCAACTATAATATGAGTCGTCAACTGATAGAACATTTCAATTATTGCATTTAGGTATAAAATAAAATTATTGATCTACTTTGTAATACAGTAAAAAGAAATATGACATGTATATAGCTTTCTAAACATACTGATGTAATTATTACAAGTAGATGAAATGCCTTTTACAATAATTGTAAACTGCTTGTATAAATAATCTAAGTATGATATACATTAATATACCTTTTGTATAAATTATAAGGCAACAATAGTAACTATTACATTATTATATTATAAGTATAACTCTTTCTTTAAGATTATAATTTAAATATAATACAAGCATAACACTTTAGGTTGTTATACAAAGTTAGTATAATACATGTAACAGATTTTATTCATCTCTAGTACTTATGTAGTCTTTATATACATTAATATGTCTTATTTAGACATTGCAATTCAATTACAAGCCTTATAATTACTTTATAATGTATATACAATACATATGTTACTTTACAAAGTCTATAAGAAATTACAAGAAATCTGACTTTTTCCTGATACAGCAGAGTAGACTTCATGCTGATAAAAAGGAGGATGAAGAGGCCTCTTCAACTCACGGCTACCATATGTTTGGAGCATGCTGATGCTGGAAACTGGACCAACAAGTGAGATTACATTCCTGTATTGTATTCACTGTAGCATACTAGAGCTAATGATTGGATACAATGCATATCACAGGGATAAAGTCGACTCGACCAGTTCAACACTGATAATAATGCTACGTGCACAGTCAGTGGAAGTTCAGTCCTGTGACGGATCCCTCATAATTGTTCCTCCGGGAATAATAGAGGACATAACACCACCAAACAAGTTAATGGGCGTTTGGGATGAGAGGGCAAGGGCAAGGGTGAGGACAAATCCAATGAAGATATTTTGGATTCTTTCATTCCTGCTGATAGAAGAAGGTCAAGGGCTCCCAGCCCTCCATCTCTTCCCTCATTGCACTGTCTCACAACATGCAACTCTACAGGATGATAAGGAAACACTGAGACAGAGTGTAATGAGGGAAGAGATGGAGAGAGAGAGAGGTAGAGAGAATGGGGAGGGGTGACATTCTGCTCACTTTTATATTGTATTGCCACTAAGCCCCTGATAATTTGTTTTGATTACTTGGAAGGGAGATAAAATAAGGGCAAACATTACAGTAACTTACAAACTAAAGTAGAATCCGGCAATTACTCCCCACATAAATATTTCTAGCAGTTTATACAACACGTAAAGTATCCAATATACTTATCACTGTTCAACGTACCACAGCGTAAAAATCAACGGTAAGTACTAGGTACGAAGTATGAGGAAGCAATTTCCTTTCCCACGCTTTTGAGCCACCAAAAGTGAACTTCTAAATATAGAATGAGCGTGATGACCGATCGTTGCACTGATCCCGCTTTCCTGCCTAGTTCCTCCTTCCAGTAGATTGCTATTCGCCTGTTGGCATAAAGTTCTTAGCAATAAAAAGAGGGGAATAAGTCAAAGACAGACGATGAACCGGATGATTTTCATTTTGCTCTGTTAAAAAAGGAATATATTGAATGTCAAACGCGTAGCTCAAGCGTTGCGCTTAGTCCGTGTGCACGCTCCTTGTTCCTTTTGGACTATAAGTTAGGAGTACCCAGATTAAGAGAATGCATCAAGGGTCCTCCACTCCGTTCACAAGCAATTATTGACAGACTGTTCAATGCGAAACCGATAGAATCTATGGATAAAGCAAAAACAAACAGTTGCCCTACAAGTCCTCGGCGCTATAACCCTAGATCGTTCGAGGAGTCGAAAGGGAGAAGTACAATTGTATTGTATTGTTCAAGGTCTGGATCTTACGGCAATATCTCCTGACCAGAAGCACGACTTGCACTGGACAATTCGGCTACGAAAGAACAAGAGTCATACAAACTGTAGACAATCGAATCCCGTCAATCCGTAATTCCCTCTCCATTCTTCCCTTCTCCACAGGATCAGGGTAAAGCACGAGGCAGTCCGAAAGAAGAAGAAAAGAAAAATATAACCAGACCATGCATGTCAAAAAATTGCACTGCATTCCCTTCAATATTCACCGATCGTGGCCTCGGGAATAGCCGCCCTTGAAAAATAGGCGATGATTAGGCTGAGAAGACAATGGATAA